CAATGAACAATATAATATATTTAAAAAACAAAACCAAAACAATAGCATTTCTTTCAATTAGGCAACAAAAGTTTCGTTGTCCAATAGCGTTAAAAACAAAAAAATCGTTACAAAAATTTTCTTTTTTCCTTTTTTTTGTTCCGTTCTTTTTCTTAGAGCAACGTAAAAAGTTTTTTCTCGTTTATTAGTGAATTAGTTTTTTTTGTACGTGGTGTGATGGAAGGATCTGCCGAAAACCTCATATTTGGGCATATTCGACAGTCACTGTAAAATGGGCAAACTGAGCAACAGATTTTGTCAAGGACTGACTAGAAAAAAAAATAAAAATAAACAAAATATTCTTAATATTTTTACAGATAATTTTGAATTTTTGAAGTTTTTATTCCAAAAATAGCGCTACCAAAATTTCAAAGACAGACAACTTATTTGCTCTAAATTAGACTAACGCTTGAAATTTTTAAATCCGTTTTTCTCGACTGGGACCACTTTTCAAAAAAAAAATTCTCGACGCTGGAACCACTTTTCAGATCCCGACTGAAAGGTCTTCAATATGATACATCATTCGACCCATTCCGATGATTAGTTGTACCTAATTTTGCGGCGAAATCAATGAGAAACTAAAACACCCAAATGGAACCAGTTCTAGACTAGCATTTATAGACCAATAATATTTATGATCGAATATCACAAAAAAACATTTATAACTAACCAATCATATTCCATCTCTAACATTTACACTTATTTGTAAGTACTTAAACTACTTGTAATTTCAGCACCAGAACAAATTGAATAAAACCTAGTATACAGTAGTTCTTCTTCTGGTAACTAACTTGCATAAATCGATATACACTAGATCTATTGAGACTAAGAGATATTGGAGTAAGATTAAGATCGGGATTAGACTGAGAAGTTGCACGAATCTATCCGGCCGAAAATAAGATAGTGTGACGAACACACGGTGTACCTAATCTGAAATTACTCTATGAGTACAGTCACTAGTACATAACTTTATTGGTCGGAATAAAAACAATTACCATTATTTGATGCAGTAGTAGTAGTAGTAGTAGTAGTAGTTGAGGCTTCTGGGAAGTCACGCTTGCCAAGGGTTTATGAGTCCCGTCATTTACATGTTTTCATCAAGTTAAGTTTGAGTTTCGAGTTTTGTCAAGTTGTTACAGTGAATGCATTTGCAGATAAATCTCCAAGTGCATCTGTTTAGATAATTGAATTTTCTGACAAAGCAATCCCAATAAAGTTTGCTTATTGATTTTTTGTCAAGTTGGTTCCCATATTCTTCGTAGTGTTTGATGACGATGTTGTGTAAGAGTTTCGTTCTGTGAAAAAAGTTTTCGTCTGATTTGTTCAGTCTGTTTTTGTTGACTGCATGTTCTCCTCTGCTGTGTTGGCGAGTTTTTTCTTCCTTAGAAGATTCAACAGCATTTGATATGTCATATTTGGAATTTACTAAGGATAAATACACGAGAAGATCGTGCATTTCAACGTAGAGGCATAATGGCAGTAGTTTAAGTTTGACTAGTCGTCCATTGTAGTCAAGATTGCAATTAAGAATCCATTTTGTGACCATTACTTGTACTTGTTCGAAACTTACTAAGATGGCTCTACTTGGTGACCAAGCTTGTGAACAGTAAGTTATAATCGGGACGATGTAACCAGTTTACGAGTGGAGTTTGTTAACCCATGAGCACGTAGCGGATATGTTTCACTTTAATTGGAAAAAGGCCCTTGTGGCCTTTTGGACACGCACTTTACAGTTTTCGTTCCATGTAAGATTTGGGGTTATTAAGAGGCCCAAATCCTTTTGAACATTCGTGGGATGCAGTTCGGTGTCGTTCAGTTTGGTGGATAGATTTCCTCTTAAATTTAGTAATTTACATTTACTCGTATTTGTCGTCATTAAGTTTTCATAACACCAGTTTTCAAGTCCCCGAGCGCCATTCCTTAGGTCGATTTCATTCAGAGCAATTAGTTTACAATCATCAGCAAAACCATAACTTTCAAGGTGAGGGCTTGCGTTGGGTAGATCATTGATGAATATTAAAAAGAGTAATGGACCTAGGATAGAGCCTTGGGGTACTCCACTGCTGACTTGTATTAGATTAGACGAGGCGTTTTCAATTTTACCGAATTGTTTGCGTTTATCGAGATATGAAATTATGATATTAAGTAGTTTTCCGCCCACTCCAAATATTTTAAGTTTATCGATAAGCAAATGATGCGCAACTTTGTCAAATGCTTTTGCAAAGTCTAGATAAACGACTGCCAATTCTTTTATGTTTTTGTCGTCGAACTTTTTGTATACAGAGTCTAAAAAGAGCAATAGTTGGACTACAGCTGACCTTTGTCTGCGAAAACCAAATTGGTTTTCATGCAGTTTGTGGCGACTATGTACATACAATTGATCAAAAAGAATTTTTTCGAACTCTTTTGAAATACAACACAGTAGGCTTATCGGACGATAACAGCTAACATCTGCTTTGTTTCCTTCCTAGAATACAGGCGACACCTGGCTTATCTTCCAGTAACTCGGATATACACTTTTATTCATTACTGTTTTATAAAGCAGGAGTGATTTCGGCAGGGATTTATAACAATTTTTGAGGACGATATTACCAATATTATCGGGTCCTGTTGACGTTTTCAGCTGTAAACTTTCAAGCACGGTTTCGATTTTCTTTTCCGTAATTTGTATATCGTTAACTTCTCTTTTGGTATGATCTGGCGTTATTGATTGTTTTTTTTTTGTAAAAACACTTTGAAAAAATGAGTTAAAAAGATTTGCTCTGTCTTCGCTTGACTCCGCAATCGTTTCGTTGAGCTTTATTATTGGGGGTATTGATGGATTTTTTCTTATTGACGACAGATATTTCTGTATGTTGCTAAAACGTCGTGTTTGGAACATATCAGCCTCAAAACAACATAGATCAGAATCGATTAAGGAGCTTAACTGTTTTTCCAATCGTTTGACTTTTGTATGTTTGGGTTTGGCCATTGACGCTTTTTCGTTGCTATTTCAATTATTAGAAAAGAAGATTGTTTTGAGATCCCGGGTGGAAGTGACGATCGATGTTTCGTGACTTTGGGTATGTTGTTGTTTATTACGTCTTCTATCCAGTTATACCATTGTTTGACTAGAAAGTCGACATTGCTATAACAGTAGTGGTCAAAAGAAAAAGTAAAGATAACAAAATATGCCTTTAAGAAAGCAAATTGGGATGAAATTAACAATGTTATGGATGGAATTACGATAGAATTTTTATTAGCAATAAAGCTTGTGTTTATTGGCTTGTGGTCAGAGCAAGGTTTGTTATTGATACTAAAATTGCTTAGGACGTCTAGGTCCTTTTTGCAGTCTGTAAATGGGTCGGGTTTGTTCGTCAGGATGACATCTAACTGAGATTCTGATATATTGGAAAAATTATGTTCAATTAGAATTTCTAATATACCGTTTTCGTATTCGTCATTTGAGCTCATGTCGCAGTACAAAAGCAGTACAAACGCTATCAAAAAAAGATTTAACTCAAGAGCAAAAAGTAGAATGGTTGAATCGAAGGAAAAATTTGAAAATTGGAGAGAACCAAAATCAGCAACTAAAGCTGCATTTGTTCAAATCAGTTTTTATCTTCTAATGGAATACTAAATAGAACAAAAATATAAACAACAATCAGTTGAAAAACGTCAGCGACCTCACTTTGGCACTTTTCCAGTTCCATTCCCTTGACTTTTCCGAACCTCAACTTAAGAACGTTATTTTTTAAAATGACTTTCGTTATTTTTAACTGTGACAAATCGTGAAAAAGAGAACAGATTGTTAAATTAATTTTTAAATACAAATTCTTATTATCTGACTTCCATTCAGCAAATGAAACTAAAAAAAGGCAAAAATTAAAAATGTTTAAAAAAAATTTAGAGCGATAAGAGCTTTTAGGTTATGTGAAAAAGACAATTAAAAAATTTCTTTATTATGTTCCATGACACTTTAAATGTTTCGATAATGATCACCCTACATTATATTTGTCACCCCACATTCAAATGTCACCTTACATTTTTTTGAAAAGGGAAATACATTAAGTGACTCAAAGCGAAGCTGGAAAATGCAAAAATCACAAAAAGGGAAAAAGATCGGATAAACCCAACCGAAAATCCTTAAAACTGCGCGTATCAGGGCCTTGTTTAAAAAGCTTTCTGAAAATTATGGCAAAAAATGATATTATTATTATTTTTCAAATGTAGTGTTGTTTAATTATTTCCATTTTTTTGCATAGTGAAGTATTCTCCTCACACGCAATGTCAAGATCACAACTACTTTTTGCGTTTCTCAATACATTATCTGAAAAAAATTTCAATTATTTTGAATGCCATAAGAGAAATAGGAAATACCGCGCGTATTTGATTATCCTCAATTGGCAATTTTCAAACTCTTTCAATTCTCAAAAGTTGGTTGCAAGTTATACATATCTTAACTTTTGAGCTCCAATGAAAAATCTCGTCAAAATGGCTAGCTACAACTTTTCTGTTTAAGAACCACGCCGATCACAAATGTTCCGTCAATTTTTTCTTCAAATCTTTAATGGGATTCATTGTGTTCAATCGTTAATTCAAAGAAGCTACTATTTACCACTTAACGCGGGTCGCTTCTAGCCACTAGTCTAATTACGGCAAAAACACTTTCTCATTTTCATCTTTTAGTCGCAAAAGATTCTCTTAAATTTTGCTACCTGGTTTCCCCGACTGAACGTTTTGACTGAATGAACTTATGAAAAACTACATATTTTTTTTCTAATGCATCTTGTACATTATTAATTAGCGCAGTATTCTTGGATAAAATCGGTAATCAAACACGCCAAAACGAATGAAAGTCCTAGATAATTTTGTATCTTTAAAAAACGGAATTTTGATAAATGGCGAGTGAAAATTTCTTGCTTGGGCTTTCTTTGGCCTAGGAAAATTTTCCATTCTCAACAGATCGGTTTGAAAATGGCTGATTTCATCAATTAAACTAATACTCTTCAAAATAAATGCCAATGATACACAATATATCTGGATGGAATTAAATAATTCTCGTAATGAGGATGAAGTTTTGAGGGACTACCACTATTATGGCAATGTAATCCAACATAGCCAATACAGAAACATCCCTCATACAAATTGCATTTGATTAAGTCATTTGATTGTAAAGAGAAAACTTTTAAAGCCTGTATAATGACACTCGTGGCAAGTGTTATTTTCAGCACAATAACAGGGAATAATGCGACGTGGATTTAAAATTTGAAATTCAATTTGAGTCTAAGTGTGTTTAAAACATTTGATCGTCGTCGCAGTCGTGAGTCCAGTGGTCGAAGCAATCACAGATGTCGCAGTAGGGTCTCGGGTCTGTGATGTTGCCGTTATTGCGTGTTGCTGGCGGACTCAGAGGTCTGCTATCCTGCATCGGACAATCCTCTGTGTCGTGCAGGTCGAACTCGTCACAGATGTCACAGAATGGTCTAATGTTGTGATTGTATCCCTTCACAGGCGAGTCTTCGTCCAGCACACTCGGTCCACTAGACGCAACTCCAGTACCGTCCAAATGTCCTCCGAACGCAAATGCTTCTAGCTTGGCGGCCAGATGTTCGTTTTTGTTGCTCAGCTCGACAATGACCGAGTTCAAAAAGTCAACTTGCTTCTGCAGAGAATCTCGCTCCGATTTGATCTGAGTGTTGAAGTCTCCCCCTGCTGAATACACACTCTGTGCACCCTCAGCCTTCTTCAGGGCCACGTCTAATTCTGCCTTAAACTTGGAGTTGGACTCCTTGTACTGCAGAATAGACAATTCTTTGCTCGCCACTTTCTCATTCAACTCCACCACATTTCGCTTCAGCCTCGACACTTGTTCTTTCAAGTTATCAACCACTTTCAATTGCTCCCGCGCTTCTTCTAGTTTCTTCTCCAATGCCGCGTAGTCTTCAATCAACAATGCAATGCGTGAACTCTGCTCTTCATTATCTGTTTCGAGTCTCCGCACAGTCTGTTTCGTTTCTACTAGCTCATTATCTTTACTTTCTATCGCGCTCTGCAAACTCATGTATTTACTTAACACTGTGTCATACTGCTCTCTAATCAAGCTCAACTCACTATCACTTGCAGACCACTCTTCTGCCGACAGCTTCATGTTAGCTATCTGCTGTTCTCTGGAGTTCAGAGCTACCCTGCAATCAGCTAATTCTTTTTTCAATCCTTCAATTTCACTCTCCAATCTAGAGACTTGATCCTTGTAGGGTATGGATTCAGACAACTTTTTTCGCAGCTCATTTAACTCGCTCTGTTGATCAATTGTTTCACTACTCTTATTGTTAGAACTTTCAATTTCTGACTTCGCTTGACTCAGTAGTTCACTCATTGTTTTGAGCTCATTCTCAGCACTTTGTTTCTCCAACTTCCATTTTTCTCTTTCCTGCTCCGCCAGCTCTCGTGCGCTCTTTTCATTCTGACACTTCTCTCTCAATTCATCCATACATTTGGAGCTCTTGTTAACCTCTACCTGATACCTTGTCATGTTTTCGTTCGCTTCTGCTATTTTGCTTTCCAGTTGGCTGATTTTCTGTTTCTTTTCAGCTAGTTCTTTCGAGTGATCGTCATTTGCATCCCTCAGTTTATCAGCCCACTCCATTTTAGTTGTATCAATCTGTGCCGTCAATCGAACTCTCTCTTCTCTCAACTCCTCCATCTGCGTTCTCATCTGTTCTGCTGCAGCCTGGTGACTCTTCACTTCTTTGGTCAGAATGGCTACTTGACTGTCACCACTGTTGTTGACCAGCGATTCTACCGTTGCCTCCAATCCCTGCTTTTCCCTCTTTAGGTAGCTTGCTAACTGAATCTGCGCTTTCAACTGCTCCTCCAGAGAGCTGTGGCTGATTTTCATCTCGTTCAACTTGAACTCTATTTCGTTGGCCTCATTTTGTTTGCAATTGAGACAATTATTCAACTCACCGAGCTCCCTTTTGAGCTCGCAAATTTCTTTTGCTAGCGAACTTTCCTTTGAAAGTTGGAGCTGCGCTTGTTGTAGAGTATGGTGATTCTGCGACTTTTGCTGATCTAGTTGGGCGCGCAGCTCACACAGGCTGTCTTCTTTCGCGCGGACTGTCTCCTCCAGTTCGGTTACGTGGACTGCAAGATTGGTGGTCAGTGAGTTGGAGTTGGAATTCACACTTACTCCTGAGTCGCACTCCTCTGACATGCTCTGTTCTGCTAACTGGAACTCCAGATCCGAGTAGTTCTTGCGCAGTTCCTCCAGTTGTTCACGAACCTCGCGCAGCTCCTGTTCCATCATCTCCTGCTGATGTTTCAACATATTCTTTTCGTTCATCAAGTCACCCCTCAAAATAGCTTCTTCCTCCATGCTGAAAAAAGAGCACAAGTGCATAAGTGGACAGGGAGAATAAATGGAAAAGTCCATTCTCACAAACAAGCCGACAGCTAACTCTCAACACATATTCAAAATAAATTGATAAATTCACTCATTCGAGTGTTGCTCTGTGAAATATTAAATCTTTCACAATACCAGACAAACATTTGCACTGTCTAAGATCATTGAACTTCAGTTGTTTTTCACACATGCAGCAAACTTTATGTTCAGAAGATCATCTATTTCCTCGGACAATGCGCAATAAACGAGCTGCTAGAATAAAAGCTTCTTCTTTGTTATGTGGCCAGTTTACATGGTAAAGCTAACGTGTTTTAATCTATCAGTTTTCTTTTAATAGCCACAGGACATCTATACTGATAGCATTCGTTTCAAGATAATGATAGCAATTGTCACTCATCACTGATGCAATAACGACATGGTGCCATTATTGCAGCTTGTGTTGCTCTCTCAAAGCTTTCCGACATCGCAAGGGTTGCATTAATTACACCCCTTCTGGGTTCATGACGTTTTTAACGTAAAAAACGTTATTAACTGTTAATAACGGTTAAGTTTTAAAAAGTTGGAGCAGTGTACCAAACAATGAATTATATTCAATCAGATTTTAGTACACGGAGACAAAAAGCCAGTTTCCAAACTTTTACGGAGTCGAGGCGGTTTCGCAAGTCCGAATGGACAAAACCCATTGTCGAGAAAGCTCTTTCCAAGCCCGCTGTGGTAGGTACTAGCTTGAACATTTTGAGACAGAGGTCAGCCAGTGCATCAGGCAATGCATTGCAACAGTTTATAACAGCAGTTTATAACAGGCCTGGTTAAATAACAGTGTTAATAACAGTGTAAATAACCGAGGTGTTAATAACAGTGCAACCCGGGACATCGCTAATTGAAAGAGCTACTCGCTTAACTGCTAACTTGCACTTGGCTAAACATGGAAAATTTAAGGTGTCCTTCTTTCCTAAGATTTAAGGGGAGAATGGTCGATTGTTACCGGAAATGAAGGTCTTCAACTTTGCGTCTCTCCTCTTCCAGCTGTCTGTCCAAATCTAACTTGGCCTTGTCGCTCTGATCAACCAGCAGGGTCAGCTGACTCTCCCTCACCTCCGCCTCCCTCAACAGCATCTGCAGCTGCTGCAGAGTACCACCTCCACTACCACCGCCACTGTTGCTCAGCATACCTACGAACAACTTAGAGCTATAAGCAGCTTCAGCGATAGCAATCAGCCGACTAAGTATTGCTGAATGTATCGAAAGTACAGCTACAATCAATCACATTCCTTGATCTCTATTACTTTGAGACTAGTAGCAGAATTTGTTTGTTTCCGTTTATTGCAACTATCCAGTTTTTTTTTTACAAGAATTTACTTCATTATTGAAATATTTATACGCCCAGTTGGCAGCCAATGCAAGAACAATTTCTTTTTAAACTCTTATAACCAAGTGGTTTGATATTGTGGCTGTACCGTTGAATTTGGCACTGGCGGCTGACCCGATGGAGCTGACGCTGCCTGAACTGCCGCCCAGTTTCTCTTTCTGCAGCAGAAGCTGTCCAGTCGCACTTCCCCTCCTCTTGGCCAGCACTGCAGTCTCCTGCTGTTGCTGTTGTTGTCGCAGTCGGGGGTCTACCACTGCAGACGCCGGCCTTTGTGGCGTGGCAAAAGACAGCAGCTGCTTCTGTTGCATGGCTTGTGGGAAAGCACTAGGCGCTCTTTTAGGCTCCTTCGAAATTTTGGAGATTGGCGAGAACAGACCAAAGCCATGCTCGCACTTGAAATATCTAGAAATGAATAAAGAGCTGGCTCAATCAGTTAGAAGCAAATACTTGCATGAAATATGCAACTACGCAACTTTACATGTCATGAGCGGGTAGGTTCAATGATTCACTGTTTAGATCACTGAGCCTACTACTAGAGCCTACTACTAGACTCATTCTATAGAAACGAACTTTACCTACCTCTCTTGACAAAAATACATGTAGATGCCATATTTGAACTTATTGAGTGACTTCCGTTTAAAATCAATAGATCAAAACAAGAATATTCGACAAAATAATCTGGTAGTTCTTCTTTACCCTGAAAAAAAATAATCCTGGAGTCCAGAATACATCACGCCGCTTCAAACGACATATTTGATTCAGTATTAACACATACAAGAAGCAGAGCTTTGTACCACTTACGATACAAAAAGTTAAGTGAAACAGGAAAGCTGTTGAATGAAAGTTTGAGCGAAACAGGAAAATTATTTTAAAAAAATGGAAACTAATCACCAATTCCAGAAAATAGTAGCTTGTAACGCACCTCCGGTGCTTCAAGCAGACTAGTGAACCTGAAGCTGCCTATAAATAAAATAATTAGAAAAATCAACGAAATATTTGATATTATTTGGAGGCACAATTCGCAACCCCTCGGGTAGCGCTGACCGCATCCCACTATTGGTCAGCTAGTTTCACACTTGGCGCAATAAACACAGAATTCAAGCTTGAAAAGCACCAACTTTTGTTTGATAGTCAAAAACGCGATTTAAAAATGCCATTTTTGACAATCTTAGGAGATTATACCCTCCTAGAACTTTGTTGGTCTATGTAAGAGGCTTAATTCCCCCTTTTTGCTTAAAATTTTGGTTCCGAATTCCGCAAAATAATTTCCACCATAATAATTCTGGTAAAATTCTAGCAAATTTTGCTCTCTTCACTTTTTCTAACCTCAACCCAATTTAATAAATACGTCTTTTCCGGATAAAACAAGTCAGTGCTATAAATAAATGTTCAGAAAACTAGATCTACCAAACAAAAATTCAGATGATTTCTCAGTTATTTTTTTAAGAAATTATTTTTCAAGAAAAACAATTTCCAGCATTAAATTAGAATTAAAACCAAATTTCCGAAGCGGTAATGAGTTAGGACCGAAGTGTAACTCATAGAGTAATTTCGGATAGGGTACACCGTCTGCTCGTCACGCTATCTTATTTTCGGCCGGATAGATTCGTGCAACTTCTTAGTCTAATACCGATCCTAATCTTACTCTTATACTATCTAGTCTCAGGTTGTTTAACTAGTCTCTGCTAGGCTCAATAGATCTAGGGTATACTGGTTTATTGCGGCTGCTGAAGTGCTCGGGAGAGTCCAACTAATTTCTAAGTTAAATTCAAATCTCTCTGGTGCTGAAATTACAAGTAACTTCAGCACTTACAAATAAGTGGGTTGTTAGTTAGATGGATCATGATTGGTTAATATTAAATACTTTACATTGGTAAAACATTTAATTTATCCAATCATAAAATGTAGTTTAGATCAGGTTCCACCCATCCGGGTTTTACAGAGTTTTTTAGAATAGTTCTTCTGCAATTCGAAGGATGGATGATGGACGTTTGTTTTTGGCGAACATCATAATTTTCTTCCGTTTCCTCTTTTGTTAGGGAAGTTCCAGGAAGCTGGAGTTAGAGACATAAGACGTTGTGTCTTCTAGTGACAACGACTACGTCTTTGCAACAAACTCAAATCTGATTTCAGAATGGTTTGCTATGTCAGGTTTTTCTGTTCTGCGTGGAGAACTTCTTTTGTGTATGATCTAGTTTGGGAATGGCGTGGAGATTGTGCGTGGAGGGGATGCCTGGTTACTCGGATCTGTACGTATACTTGAACATCGAGGTGGTCATTGGTCTAGTTCAATGAAGTCCTTTTCTGCGAGGTCAAGTCGTACTCTAAATCCTTTGAGTTGTGATTGTGAGCGGCATATCGATTGTAGTTGGTCATTCTCTCTCGAGTGTAGTGGGGTCGTCTTGTCTTTTGATGTTCGTCCTTGGTGTTGTATTCTGATCTATATATTGCATCATGTGATTTTACATTTTTTTAAAACTTTTATTAGTTTAATATTTTTTAATAATGATTTTAGTTAGTTGTTTTCACAAAAGCTTTTTGTTTTAGTTCGGTTATTTTGAAGAGTTACTCACACTTGAGTAGCTCTTATTAAAAATAGTGGTGTGGTCACAAAGCGTGGATGTAGCGCGGTGGGTTAGGCCGGCTATAGAGCATGCTCAGGACGTCCTTCCTGGTGGGTTAGGCCAGGAGTGGGAGTATGATTTCATGCGGTTTTTGTGAGGGGTCCTGTTATGTGACAACGTTTTATGTTGAGTTTGTTGTGGTCTTACTTATGTTTTGTTGGTTGTGTCCTTTTTTCAAAAATCAAATTGTTTGTGGTATGGGTTTGTCTTTCGACTTTTTTGTGTTTTATTATTTCTTTCTTAGACTTTATAATAGTCTTCAAAAGAATAAATTATCCAGTTTTAAACTGGGTTAATCCGGTTTGGGTACCGTTGGTTTCTTTTTCTAAGTCATGCTGTTATTCTATGATTTGTGGTATTTAGTAAGCTGCGTTGGTTAGTTTTGTTTAGTATATGATTCCTTTCCAACCGGGCTAAAGGAAAGTTTGAAACATGTTATTATATGTTAGAGTTGTTGAGTGTGAAAACTTGAAACTGAAATTCATTATTTTAAACAATTCTTCGTGGGCGAGCTGTGCGAGTGTGGATAGAATTTCTGTGCGAATGAATGAAAATATCAAAAGGTTAGTACTGCATTTGCATTTATTTAATTTACTACATAGAATTTAGAAATTTACTGCTAGTCATGGGGGAATATTAAGATACAAATTTTCATCATAATTAGATTTACTGCTTGTGGGGGAAAATTTTAGAAATGAATTTACTGCATTGGTATTAAATTTATAAATTTATAAGTGTAAGAGATTAATAGAATTTTTGAAATCTGTTTGATGAAATTTGCGATTTTTATTTGTCTTTTGTGGTTTTTGTAGGTGATCGTCGGATGAAGGCTAAAAATCTAAAGAAAACATGAATAAAGTATGGTGAGTTTTTTAATATTTTAATTAGTTAGTAATATTCATTTAATTCATACTTACCTGTTAGTCGTCGGGGAAAAAACCGTGGGGGAAGATGTCGTGAATTAGTTCTGAAGTTGTTAGTAGTTTAGCTAAGATGCGGATGATATTTTTAGTTTGAAGCAGTGGCCAAAGCAATTGAAGTGCCTTGATAGTGGTTAGTTCTTCAGTGCCAACTGCAAACTCATAAGGTGTGTTTTGGATTAAGTTATATAATTTGTGATTGAATTTAGTGTTGTGGATGAATTCTAAAATTGGGATTTCTATGGGTTGTACAAACTCGTGCGGGATAAGGAAGGGTCGGGATTCTTCGGCGTTGAAGGTCTTGGTAATGGGACAGAAGATGTACATTTGGGTTATGGGGTCATAATTACGAAGAATACCATGGAGGTTAGTGTCTTTAATACAATATGTGAAATTTAGGAAAAATGGTGAAGTGTATTTGGAATTAATGAATTGAAAACGATGGTGTGGTTGTCTAGAGGGTGTGTGTAGGTCAAAGTGATTTTGGATGAAACGATAATAACTATATGTGTGGGTTTGTTTAGTGCGCAACATAATATCGTGTGAGCAGTGTAAATCTCTTTCGTGTGGTGCAAGGAAATGAAAGGTTAGTGAAAATATTTGGAAGCGTTCTTTAAAACTTTCGTATGCTTGTGTGTCTGTTAGTGCTTCTGAAATAATGTGATCAAACTTTCGGTCGAAGATGTTTAGTGTGAATGTATATGGTGTCTTGATGAAAAATTTCTCGGTAATTTGTGGATTAGCGAAGCGATCGTCGTCTAAGAATTGATCTTGGTTAGCTCTGATGATGTTGTGATCATAGTATTCGAGTGTATATTCGTTAGCTCTAGGTGCAGTGTGTGTTTTTAGTGATTTTTTATATCCAACGTAAGTAAATTGTCTAGGTGTTAGTGGTGTAGTGAGTCGATATAGTATGTCCGTATTTCGCTCTATATCGATGTGAGTGTTAGATAAAGGTAAGCAAAGAGGGTTAGTGAAATGATAATATGAGGTCCAAGAGAGAGTAGGCATTAAAACGTATTCATCTACGAAGTTGCGTGTTTCGTTAGTGTCGTGGGGGGTGTTTAAGGTGTATTGTGGGAATGAGGGTAAGGTGATGGCTAAAAATTCTTTTGTGTTAGTATGCTTGGGGTGGTTGATGTATTCACGGGCTGTTCCTGGTTTTGCTGGGAAAGGATGGTTGGGGAACTTTCTTTTAAAAGTGCGGTAAGCTCTATTAGTGTTGAGTGAAGATTCAGTTGATGTGGATGATGGTGCTAGTTATTCAGTATAAGTTGAAGAGGGTGTAGGGGTAGGGGGGTTGGATGAATTTATTGTGGAGGAGATTTGATTTATGGTTGGGGTATAAAGGTGGTAGGGTTGTTGTTGAAGGGTAATAAAATTATCTAGCTCTGGGGAGATTCGGGGGGTGTCTGGAGAATGAGATGATTGGTCAGAATGGTATGAGGGATAGGTTGGGGTAACTTGGGAAGCATAAGAGGGTGTGGGAGTAATTGGGTCAGGGTTATTGGATAATATGGGTTGAAAAGGGGGTTGAGAAAAATTAAAAGAGTTATGAAAATTATTGGATGGGGATGGTTCTGAGTCGGCGAATTCATCGGGGGTTTCAATATTCGGGTTATTTAGCTGTGAGATGGAGTATAAAACTGAGATGTGTGAATTAGTGTCGGAATTCATGCCTGATGTTACATTACTAGATGGAAAATCGGGTGGCGGAAAAGCAAAAAGTGGTATTATTGGGATTGGAGAGGTAAGATTGGTTGGGTGGGAATTTGATCGGTGTAGTGATCCAAGTTGGCGGCTCATCGTGGGCTAAAAAAATGATTATTTTGAGACTGAAAAGCGGTGGTATGGGGTT